TCTATCCCTAAGCATTTCTTTAATATTCTCCTCACTCTCAAATCTAGTCAACCATTTTCCTAAACTCATTTTCATTTTTTATAGTAAAACTCCAACATCGAATCATTACCAACTGCAACTTTGTCAAATTACCTTTTTTTTGTAAACAATGAAGCATGAAAGAAATCGAAGAAAATCCATATTCGTATGTTAGATTGTTTTGTTTATCATAGAAGTGGCCTTCGTTATGCAATTTGACAATGAAGTAGCTTGAATTTGCACCTGCATGCAAAAGAATTTGGAGATGAGGGAATGAGCAGTGAAATGTGGTATGTAAATGAAGAAATGCACACTGATCAATTCAGGGCAACATGGGACTGCACATCATATAATGCTCAAAACCCAACCAAAACTACTGAAATTTCAACTCCCAACCAATGTCATGTAATTTGTGATGAATACTTACAAACCCCCAAAAATTTCACTCACAGTGTTGACTTCTTTTCTTATTTCCCATTTCAATAAAGTTCCAATCTTTAATTTCACATAGCAATAAAATTAATGAAGAGAAAATAGTGATCATGAATGGACAACGTTCGTACCATATGTGGGTGTCTTGTCGTCAAGTTTTGTAGTAAACGAAGAAAGCATTTTGCTTCGACCAAAAACCATGCCAAAAACAAATTCCATCAAAAATAGCAAGGAAGCCTCGATCACTTAAAGCTTGAAATTTCAAACAATAAAATAAAAAATTCATAGTGAAAAAATACATTCTCTCAATTCGATATCCACTGCAAGCAGATAATAGCCCATTACGAGGGGAGAAATCTTATATGATAGGAGAAAGAGATGAAGAAAATGGACGCTCCCATGACATGAATAGTTGAGAAAATGAAGATAAACCTTGCGTATGATACGAGAATGAAGAATTTTTTGAAGTCGCCTGACCATTTTATCTTTCAAGATTCAAATTAAAAGTGAGTTTAGTATGCTTTTAATAGTGAAACTCACAATAAATGGATGGAAGAACATTTTTTGAAATGTCAAAATAAAGGTGAAAATACAAAAAATTAGAACGTATTGACGTTTCTCTCGCTAAAGATCGGAAACGGATCGTGCTAACAAGCCATTAAAAAATTTCTAATCCTGTAAAACCCAGGTAAAACCCCGGACCCAAACATTCCCCCTTCCTCTCTCTCCTTTCTCTGTATAGTTTTTACTCCGCGCGCGTGGTTGTGGTGCGGCGGAGATGGAGTACGTGAGCCCCGAAGGTCTTCGCCTCGATGGTCGCCGCCCAACGGAGGTATATCTCTCTTCTTTGTTCTCTAATATACAAATTTTGATTTCTTTGCAAACTTTTGTTTTTTTTGTTTTTTTTTGTTTTTTTTTTGTTTTCAACGTAACAAGAAGATACTTCCGCCCAACGGAGGTATATCTCTCTTCTTTGTTCTCTAATATACAAATTTTGATTTCTTTGCAAACTTTTGTTTTTTTTGTTTTCAACGTAACAAGAAGATACTGTCTCATGTAATTGATGTATGTTTATATTTTTCAATATCAGATGAGGCAGCTTCGAGCAGAAGTAGGCGTAGTAGCGAAAGCTGATGGGTAAATTTACCTTTATCCTTTAAATTTCGCATGAAACTAGCATGTCTGTCTAAGCTTAAAAAGTTAACTTAAAAGTAAATAAGTGATCTTCAAATTAAAAGTAGTTTTATTCTTTTATAAGCTTAGCTGAACATCCTCCAATCGATGAGCTTCAATTTTAGATGGTTTTTGTTTAATAACCCCTATAATTTGCTGGCAGTTCCGCCTCTTTTGAAATGGGTAACACCAAAGTCATTGCTGCAGTCTATGGTCCTCGAGAGGTAGGTATCCCTCTTCATATGCTGTTTCATAATATTTAAGATTATATATTGTGGATTACATTGCATAGCGTTTACTTCACTATGGAGAACGTGCTCGCGTTGATATTTGTTTCCATGGAAGAGTGATAATAAATTGGATTCACTTAAAAGGTCTCAGCTTACTCAACCGTTTCTGTAAGTGTTCTTGGTGATCTCAGATAAAAGAATTATAAAAAGATACTTCAAGATTAGTTTCTGAGAAGTTGTTCATATAACGTTGATATTAGGGTATTCGATGTCATCACTCACATTGTTTAATTGTATAATTTCTGAGTTATTAACATTCCATAGTAAATTCCATTAGGTAATCTTTGTAAACATTCTAAAGCATAATGCCTATGGAAGTAAATTGAAAAAATATAAAATTTGTTTTGTTGCATCA